ACAAACAAACAAACAAACAAACAAACAAACAAACAAACAAACAAACAAAACAAACAAGGAAGCAAGGACCCTTCCACTCGCACATGATATACCCTGTAGGCCATACACGCTTGCCCTGTCCCTCTGAGTTGGACCCACCGAGTGAAACACGGGCGTTTCCCCTGTTCCTCGTGCCGTGGCTTCGCCCAAGGCACCTCTGAGGCAGCTTCCTTTAGCAGCCGCTGTTGCCAGGAGAGCTCGTTGCTCCGTGCCGCGCAAATGAGGAGCTTATTTAAGGTTCGAGGACTGGCTCTGACCTGAGTCGGAACAAAAAAGGTGAGTCGCCTGACATACCGGCCTCTTTACCTGCAGACTTCTACAGAAAAACATCTGCGACCTGGGCCGACCGGGATGTGAAAAACCAGGCTACCCCTTGGAGTTGCATCCGGCTGAAGAAAACCAACGCCCGGCGGAAGGCGCCCGCATTGGCACAAGCCTGGCTTCCGCGGAACGCGCCCGTATTGGGAGGAAGTAACGAAGGGTGCCCCCTGGTGACCGACCCTGGTATCGGAGTTCAATGCGAGATCTGTGGATTGACCCAAGAATACAAGAATACAAGATCTCAATCTCAACTGAACTTTCCGAATGTTGCAACTTGTGGTTGGTTCACAACCCACATCCCAAGACCTTGGGTACAAATTCTCAGGAAGTTGACTTTTGTACTGAAATCGCACACACCCTTGTACTGCAGTGGGCATCTGCAATGGTGTGCCACCTCTGGAGTAAGACACCTGCATGCTCATCTAAAGGGAGTCTTTGACATACATTATCTCACTCCCTTGACCCCATCAAGTCAGCCAATCAGCCAGTGATGCATCGCTGTTGATCACGCATGGGTGCAAAGCCTTAAACCCGTCCAGCCGGCCGCCTTGAGCATGGTGTTGTGGAGCATCCGTCGCTTCGGACCGCGCGAGCCGGGAAGCCGCTGCAGTTCTTGGAAACACTCCTCTGCTTGAGCGACGTCACCCACCTGCGACCGGAGGTGTCGACCGGTGGAGAGTCCGTCAAATGGGAAGAAAGCAAAGCACCATGCATGTGCAGACCAGCCTGATTTGTAGGTCACTGAATCCTTCACAGCATCTCATCCAAGCCTTTGGATGAAAATGATGAAAAGAAGTCTCCCATGCCCCAGTTCATCACAGTGGACGCCGGACGCTCTGCCTCTGCGTGCACGTTCAGCTCATCAAGGAGCTGCTGGAACCGGTCATTTCGTGGCCACTGGGCAGTGCTGCGGAGACCGCGCGTGCCGCGCGCGGTCCGACCGCGCGCGTGCAATTGGAGCAGCAGCGGAACGCACATGGCGCATCAAGCATGGAGGTACAACACATGAATAATATATACTATAATTATGATACCTGTTCTGAAGTTTCGTGCTGAATGGACGTCTCTAAATGCAGGGAGGGTTCCAATTCTCTATCTGGAGAAGTTCAGCTGCCAAAAAGGGATATCCTTCGGTCATTCCACCGTGTAATTCACCAAAGTGGCTTGCGCGGTATTCTATGGTATTCTCACACTGCTGCTTTCTGCAGCCGGTTTGACACAAGCTAAGCTCATCGTGTGCTCGGGGATCGTGGTGCATCAGAATCATCCAAGATGGCATCGATGTGGTCCATAGTAGATGGAAACCTGCGCCCTTCGCAACAGTCAATGATACTTTTGGGGCTTTTTGGTGACAACCCCAATTCCACAAATCCTCATGTGGGGACCTCTACATTATGTTGTATGTATGTCTACCAAGTGACTTCTGCAAGAGACTGCTTTTGTTTCCCTCTAGAGTCTAGACTTGCTCTAAGCTTCTCCCATGAGAGAACCAACAACCTTCTTTTGGAGGTTGATACTGGTCGTTGCTTCAAGTGATCGCTTGAACACCTGCTTCACGTGTTTACATACCTATTATACACATTAGTATTGGCTCTTGAAGTGCCACTTAAGCGTTACATTTTAGTTTTAGTATCTCTGTTACGAGTAGCTAGACTAGTAGCTAGACTAGTAGCAATGCACCTGTGAGTATCTCTTCTGCTCCATCCTAAATATCCGGAACACTCCTGCTCCGCACGCTGCGGCTGCTCTTTCGGCGGACGGCTCCGGCCACGCGTCGCTGATCGATGCCGCCCAGCAGCTGCACCGTGTGTCCGCGGCACAGGGCGCGCGCGCAGGCGTTCACGGAGCCGGCGAAGGTGATCATGTCCTTCAATCGGTCAACGGTCTCAACGGTTGATCTAAAGAAGTCTTTTCATTTCATGGACTTTTGTCAAATACGAACGGATGTCATGTTGACGGTTCAATACATAATCCACCTGACCATCCTGGTTCTGAATCTCTATGGGGCCAAAGCAACATTTGAATAGATAGATGTGGCTCATGAGGCCGTCGCTATAGATGTTCTTTGTGTGGGGAAGAGTTAGAGCCAGGGAGAGTCAATGGGGAATCCCACCCAACTAGAGGAATATATAGTTCTCAGAGACTCACTGGGAATCTTAGGTGTGTGTTCCCTTTCTAGATGGTTGTCCTTGATGTATCACACTATTGGGTTTTTGTTTAAACACCTATTCTGGCAAATTGTAGTTGTTTTGCCTTTCAACGCCATCGACGCCGCCTGTTGATTGAGGAAATTGAACTCACCTGCACCTACCTAGATAGAAGTGGGAACACACAAACAACTTCCAGCTGCTATGTTGGTCCAAAGGGAATGGAACATGCCTAATATACTCCTCATGAATATCCATTGTGGGAATTTGTTGGATATCTTCAATACCTACTATTCTCAGGTCATTACCCCAATCAGGAGAATCAAGGCAATGTCCCCTTACAGTTGGGTCATTCACGAAAGATACTAACCTGTATCTGTGTATTTGGAGCCCCCATGCAGGGTGAGCCACTCTCAACAAGTGCAACCACGCTTGAACTACAAACAAAAGCAGTCGCAATCTTGGTGTGTTCACATCGTTTCAAGTCGCTAAGTCCGATTCTCGCTCCAAGATGCCGGCTGGTGACGTCGCTTCCGAAGATCCTCCAGGAGAAGTAAGCTTTGCGTCCACGCACTCGAAATGCCAAGAGCGTCCACAACGCTGTTGAAGGTCAGCAGATTGGGGAGAATCTCGCGGCGAAACGGATGGGAGTCGTTTTCATCCAAGTCCTGCTACGTAGTTCCTGCGGGTTCCTGAAGGAAGAACCAAGAAGAAAAGCACTGACACCATGTGAGAGACGGAAAAATACCACATAATACTGTATTGTCCTCACTAGTGAAACCAAGTGTTGAAATGTCTTACAACACAAGGAGAAAAGCATGTAAAAAAGCTCCGTGGAAATCTCCTGTGAATGGGCTCTGAAATTCGTCCAACATGTGAATCAACCCAGGACCTTAGATAAGGATTAACAGCTTAAACTTTGGGCAATCAAATTGCAACTGCCCAGCCGATGGAAAACTGTGTTAGTCCCCTCACTGCACAGTAAAACGAAAAAGCTATAATGCCTACACAGCAAAAGATCCGAGATGATCCGAGAAATACTTTCTTCATCAGAAACTCACCTTTGAAGCCATGGAGTTTCTCTTATCACTCATCCTTGAGTTTCTCCTCCGCAAAATCCGCTGCAACGGATTTCACACAAAAGCACCATGAACCCGCCCGGGCCGTGACCATCTCCGTCCGAGCCTCGCGAACCTTCATGTCCCTCAGCAGCTCTACCGACCTCCTCCAGTGGTGAGACACCGTTGCCTGCGCCTCATCGTCCAGTGATGAGAGGATGACGCCGAGGGCTGTGGAGCAGGCTACAGCTACACGGATGACCATGGAGGCATTCAAGGGATCAATAAGAACAAACGTGTCGTGTATGTCGCGTAGGACATGGAGTGGTCCCCGGCATCCTGTATTGCTGCACACATACACACAAGGGTGAGAGTGGGATGCGTGTTCCATCACATGTCCAATCCACAGGAGGTGAAGGACTTCCTCTATCGTGAAAAAAGGCGGACTTGCCTTCTTCAGCAAAACATGCCTTTTTCGACATTGCAATGTTCGAAAGCAAAGATCCTACCCCGTCTAGGAGGCCCCGTCTTTTTCAGACGACCGACTTCAGTTGCACCACCCTGAGATGGAAGATCCTACTTTGTCCTAGTTTGATTATACTGAGGTCCTCATCCATTGCTGATGTCCTCATTTCCAGTATGTGTACATTCTGGTCACTACAGCAACCTCAGTTTAGCTCGACGTTGACCCTTGAAACATCCTGAAAAACATGTAGTCTATAGGAGTCTAGGAACGGATCCAAACCGGGGTTCAATCGGATCCATCAGTCGTCCGTCCGACCTTGATCACGGCGCTGAAGCTCACCACGTCGGGCTGAGTGGTTCTTCTCAACATCTCCAAGGCCTGCACAGCTGCCTGCGGGCCAAACTCGCACGTGAACGATAGGATCGGGTGACACGAAAGGATCGGGTGTTTGAGAAAGAATTGGTGAATGAAGATCGGTTGGTTTATGTCTGGAGTCTGGGTGTTGAGCTTTATGTCTGCACCATGAAGGTGAATGGCCTTTTATGATGACCAACAGTCACTGCAGTTGGCGTTATGGGCAACTTCATGCGTCTCGCCGTTGAAGCATCTTCTCCGTCTTCTCCGTGCGACCCATAAGGCTTGGATAAGTCAGTGCAGCGCCAGGTGGGTACATCATGCCCTCAAAGAGTCGTCCTGTGAGGGTACCTTCTGACTGACATGGAAGTGGAGTTCACCACCAGTTTTGTAGAGGATTTCATGGTCTTCCCAGTGACCATGACGTCCATGGTCCATGTTTTTTCTGTTTTTCTGGTGAGTGGGTGTGTAGATGGTGCGAAGGCACCACACCTGAGAGGTGTTCACCCACTACCACATGTGCTGCAACAGTCAGCCTCAGCTTGACCAGCTTTTTCACATGCACTGATGGCAGCGTTGAAGCTTATGACGTTCCTCAGAGGAACGGAAACAAAAAGATCAAAGCAAACATTGGTGGATGTGGACATCTCAACAAAGCCCAACATCCAAGTTGCATCATTTTGTTGAACCAAATCGGGCTGACGTAACATTAGTAATTAAAAGGTTCTCTTCCCAATGGCTTAGGTTTGGACTCACCCCTGCCACAACAGTTTTTGGACTTCTTTCACAATAAAATAAAATACACACAAAGCAACTTAACATAACTTAACAATTCACGTAACAAAAATTGACCGTGCCTTCATTCAGGAACCACCCAGCTGTAGGAAGAAAATGTAGTAAGATAGATCGATAGACGGTGCCACTATCCGAGGTTAAAGCTAAAGAACGCGCCGCGAGTGACGGTGTCTTGGTTGTTCTAAATGTGCAGCACTTCTTCCATCAATAGCAGAAACCCTGCCCTACCAGCCAGGCACAAGGTTTCGCACAAACACACTTCATACAGCGATTAAAAGTGCTCTTCATGACGGATTATCGGAGATGTGATTTCGTCAGTTCATTGGATCTCAAGCTTGTATCAAAGTGTCACAATCTCTTTGCTGGGCTCTTCATCATATTCTCAACACATCGAATGTTCAAATCTCCATGTCAAAGGGAGCTATCATATTGCCGGAACCCTCCAGAATCCGAAAAAGCATCCCAACTTATTTGTTTGTCTCAAAGCACGGGGTCCCTCCCTCACATCTAGTCTATTTGCTATCCGGCAAAAGCCAAAGAACACTGGAGTGCTTTACGGAATATAGCCTCCCCGCATTATCTCCATTCGACTTCGAGTTTCGTTGAAACATGTCAAAAGGGACATCGTTTTTTTTTGCATAGCTGAGCAGGCCCCCTCGGAAAAACGGCCGACAAAAACGCCACCATGGTTCGGCCGAATTTGTAAGACCTCCATGCGCCACAGCACCTGCAGTGCCCTCTGCCACTGCCGCCCCTTCTCGCATGCGCTGATGACACTGCTGTAGATCACCACATCCGGCGAATCTCGCCGATCTCGTCCATCTCGTCCATCCGACTCCAGAAGCGTCAGCAAGAAGAGGGCTAAGGCCCATTGACCACCTGCAGGATCTGCGGGATGTACGTGGGAGGCCATTGGAGGCAGGGAAACAATGCAGTGGAACAAATGCTTCTTTTAGAGCTCAGGATCATCTCTTCGGAATGCTGAGCTGGTATGCTTTTCCAGTGGACCCCTTGGAATGTACCAATCACTAGTCACACGTGATCCACCGCATTTGATGCATCTCATCAAGACCATTGAACCTCAACCATGGCATTTGTGAAACAATCCAGACTGTGATTGATGAAACCAGAATATGGACATGCAATTTCACACCTTGT